TTTGATCTATATATAAAAGAAATGTGACGATACAGTTATATTATGACGGATTGTCTATTGTATATAATGTACAATATGATAATAACTTAATACATGATGACTCACTGATTAGTCAGCGCCAAAAATAGATAAAAAATAGTTTGTTTTCTTCCAAAACTTTACCTCAGATTGCATAATTTTTAAACAAGATAAATAGTTTTGTCAAACTTTCTCATCTTTTTTCATTGCTTTGCAGTTTATGACATATTTTTGAAAAGAATTTGTGCTGTTGAAACTATATGATTCTCTAGATTTGCTAGTATCTCGTATGAATTATTTAGTACCGGACATTATACACAAAGTTCAAACTTTACTAATACATACCTTTACTATTCATATTTTAACAAATGAATCATGATTGTCAACAATCCCGTGTGAATTCTGCTCAAAGCATGTTTGTTTACGATCTTGAAGGATTGCATGGTGATATATTTAACGGTGTTTTATCAAAGATGACAATGTTAATAAGAGGTTCAGACCGAATGTCTCAAAGGTCTATGTGTTTGTCATTCAACATGTTGGTTCTGCATAGATTTTGCATACATTTATAACAAAGTCAGAAAGTTTCTAAGATTTCCTTGTTCTCTATATAGTAAGAATCGTTTTTATTGAGCTGTTCTTTCAAACATCAATCGTGACTGAATTCCCAGATGATGTCTTTTAAATTCCGAAGTACGTCCATCAACCAGCAAAAAAAACAATTTTGCTTATATTTTTAGCATGTTAGAATGGTAGACTTGATTATGTGATGTAGTAATTGCTTCGGTTTTGATTTGAAAAGATGAAAATGATATTTAATGTAAACATATTTATTTCTGTCGCATCAGCGTTATTTGTGCCGTGTGTGGAGGCTGTAAAAAGGTCGCCCGGTAATTTAGTCAGAGATGTTATATTTGTTATCCTTGAGGATCGTTCAGACCGACATCTTTGTTATTTTTGTGGTTCTTTGAGTTCCTTCTATTCGGTTGTTTCTAGGTAGGTGGTTCCAGTATTCGTTTCTTGACAACTGTGTAATCACTCTTAACATATATTGCCTGATTGCCTGCTTGTGTTTCTTTAGAGGGCTTATCTGTGATATAACCCCTGATCTCTTTTCAAAATTTCATTTTATTTAGTTTCGCCAATTATATTCTCAACAAAGGGCACAGCAACGCATTATTCTATTTTAGGAATCATACGCCACTTTTATTGAATGGCACAAACGTGTCACATTGAATGTTCCATGATAATCGACGTATGATCACTTTTACCGATGTTTTTAAATGTTGAATTCTGTTTCAACTGGTAGTAATGGCGTAGACGGTAACTTGAACTTTTCAGGACCGTGTATGAAAAGGCATAATCAATCCGAGCCTGTAACACTATCAATTTTGCTGTTACGAGGTTATTTAGTGGTTCATTTTTTCTTCTAAAATTGATTTTACATCTCATTTGCTTCTTTTTGACCATTACGAGCATTCTTGACTAACTGATTCTATGAGTGACAAACAGCTTTATCATTAGAATATTGACAACCTTTCCTTAAAAGGAAATAGTTTTAACTGATACATTGTTAACTGTTTGTAGTAATTATCGTATGACCTCGTTAGTTTTATCTTTGACCTCATTAATATCAATTTCATAAACTACGCTTGAAATAGTGTATTGAAAAAGAAAGAAAGCATGTGTACGATAAATACTTAAACAAATCGTATACATGCTTTCTTTCGAGACTCAACAACGATTTCGTAGGGTCAGTAACGTTAGAAGAAATAAGGTATTAATTTCCAGTTTTAAATTACATTCAACATGTATTAAGACGCCTTTTTAGCAAAGTGTTGAGTTGATAACAGTGTATATCATTCTCTTAAACTTTACATGGACAGGTAAACCTAAACTCCTCACAGTGATTATAAGCTTCGCTCAAATCACTGTCTGGGTCCATAGAAAACAGCTCGAATATCTATCCTGGTATGAAGAATCCTTTGAGACCTACATTTCCTTATAAGATTATGAAAAGGGTAAGGGCAGATGTTGTTGGTTACATCAAGTACTCTTTCGAATATTTCGAATGTAAAATGCTTCCCTACAGAACCGCTATTGGTTGCATTAAAGATCCGGTGACTCAATTTTTTGTGGCCTTTATTACGGGAGTGAAAAGGGCGATACTCCTAGATCGGGGGAGGACCTTTTTAAGTTACCTTTGCTATCCGATATACACCGATATTATATGATGATGTTATTACAGCGACTATTGGACTCGGCAATAGCTTTCCTCAAGACACTCACTACTTAACTTGAGTATCAACAACAGTACTATAAGTTATACTTGTATATCAGCATTTAGCAACAAATGTTCATAACATTGACTTCTTCTTTACTGAAATTTAAGTTAGTAAACGTTGTGATATTTGATAACAATACTCAGTTATTTCAAAGCTTAAAGTAAGGTAGATATCTTTATATATTAACATTTGTCTTACGTTGCAATAATCATTTTTGATGAATCATCTGACAAGCCATATCTACGCTGTTAGATTTTTTAAAATTAATATAGGTTTTATTACTCTTTTTAATAAATTGTATTTTACCAAATGAAAATATTTCAGCATTCTGCTTTCATAATTTATGAAGTAATATCTATCATGGCAGGTACTTGAGTAAGTCATGCGAATAACAATTAATATGTCTCAATTTTTCATGAAATGCACCAATCATTATTGCATTATTCAGTACATCACGCTCGATGCCAAAGCAATAAACAAAAAATGCACTGATTTCTGCCAGACATGTCAAAACAGAATATCTCTCCAAACTCTGATAATAATCAATAAATTTTCTCTTTTTTCATTAACTTCCTTATAACAAATCAATTTTCTTACAGCTGTCTGGACATGCGCAGCACACGGCAGACACATTTATTAAATCTTAATTAGATATTTTGTCGAGAAAATGTTTTTAGAATGTCGGTACATGCATTTTTTTTAAACATCTGAAAGTGTCGTCTGCTTATCAATCAATCCGCTTTGTAACTTAAAGTATTTTATTTAAACTCAGTATGATGAGTTGAACTGTAGGCGACATAGTACATATAGGGCAAATACTGTTTACATTTCTTACAAGATATATGTTGTTAATTTATTTACTCTATGATTAAAATGATATCCTTTTGTTTGTTTGTTGATAGAAAAGTCAACCCAAACCTTGACTTCTAATCAAATCTATCCAAAATACTTAACATTTTTGTGTAAATGTCAATACTCAATGTATTTATATTCAATTTAAAAAGTTTGAAGACTTTGATTTTTTTGTTTTTATATTCAGTGTATTTACTTTCACTTTTATTTGAATATCTTTGTGAATTTTACATGTTTTACTTTATTTTTACTTTCTCGAAATATTTCTTTTAAAGTTATAAAAATAATTTTGCTTGTTACATAAACACCTGTGTTATCCCTTCTTTGTAACTAAGGAAATGTTTAAAGTGTTAAGGCAATTTGTTGTACATCTTAATTTATGATATTAAAGTATCATATATACTGTAAAGTTTAAACAAATTTCGATAACTGTGTTAAATGAGAGGCAGTCGGCTAAACTATATTTATTTCTATCGGCTGAATATTGTATCAACACATTCACTTTGGCTTCACGCTGGTATAAACAAGTCTTCACAAAACATTTGATAAGAACTTATACTTTGTTCAAGACAAAGCAGCGATTCAAATATATCATTGCCATTCTTGAGCTTAAATGGTTAAACAGTACAATTTGTCTAGTAAGTTAAGGAATTCCAGTGTCAAAAAGGAAGCAACATGTACGTCAGTCGGGTGTTTTTATTTTACTGTACACAATGTAAGAGCTAAATGATTTGTACGAAGAAAGAAAAATGAAGTTTGTATCATATAAACAATTTCATGATATGATATAAATACTCGTAGAACTAGTAGCTACTAGCTAGTTGTTCGCGCTTACAAATAAATCAAATGGTTAGTTGAAATCATACAATTCATACCAATACTGCATGAGACCATAAAAACTTAACGTTATATGTACTTATTTTCAATGAGATTTGAAACGAAAAACAATGTAGTCGAAATAATTATTGTCTCGTTATTGTATAATTTATATAAGTTAGGTTCAGATAGTTTTCACTAAACAATATCATTCGATATGTCACTACCACCGATCAATCATCTATGTTTTGCCGTCGGCAAATTTATGGCGGTAACAGCTGAATAGTAAAAAAGGTAATACAGTTCGTCCTATAACTTCGACACTTTTCTGCATAACGTTAACTCTATACGGATTTTATCTATGATATTGATAAAACTGATGAGGCACTTTTTTTTTAAAACAGCGGATGGATAAATGTTTATTATATTTAACATGGTGTTAATTAACGTTTCACGATTTTCTTAAACAGTTTTAATTTATAGAGAGTACTGTGTTACATGAAATGGATTTTTATAAGGAAAAGTATGAGAATAACATCATATATCAACGCCTACTTGTGGTCTATTTTAGAGCGCTTCTGTTGTCGTTTAAGAATTGTTTCTTTTTTGTTTTACTATAACACGTGGTATAAAATGTAGAACGATATTTCTTGTCATCAATTATTTAACTTTAAAGAAGCATCAATATTACACTATATCTTTTAAGTTTGTTTCATTATGATATTGTTTGAATTTCTGGATACAATTCACATATCTTGATTATTATTTTTATGAATCATAGAATTCGGTTTAAACTGTATCAAATATTTCAACTGACTGATAATCTTGTAAAAGCAAAGGAAAGCGTAATACAAATGATTATTTATTTTCTATTTTGCTATCTAAGTATCATAATCGTAGGGTTTTTTTCGTAACATTCACATGTATAAATGATATTTAGATATATTTTACAAAACCCATCCCAAAGAAAGAAAAACAGAAACACAACAACAAGCAACAAAAAACAAAAACAAAAAATAAACAAAAAAAAAAACATACACACAAAAACACACCCATAAGTTAGATGTTTATTAGATATTGTAACAGTTGGTAACCCTCGTGAAACGTTTTGTGACATATAATGACTGATTGTGAATTTGATTAAGTATTTTTATGCTTTGTGTTATTTGTTAATCATATACAATATGTCTATATGTAATATATGTTGAAATTTACCATAAGTGATGAAATATATACACGAACGTAATTATGACTAATCAAATTCTTTCGTTTCATTTTATCTCATTACTGCGGATAACTTAAATATATGTTCAAATGTAATTACTCTATACATGCAAAGTAAATAATCAATTTCAAATAAAAGAACAGCATTCCTTTGATTTTTCCTATCGCTAATGTCTTAACAAGGAAAGATCTACTTTTGAACTTTCACGTGTAGTTTTGTATCTAAATTTAAAACATCATGAATTGAAAAAGTCTGGTTTTATAAATGTAAATCAAAATAAGGAAAATCGTATATACACTGTAATAGAATCTATAAATGTTGGAAACACTAGCTGCGTATGGAATAATATTATCAGATATAAGAAATCACTAGACTATAAAAGAGAGAGGACTCGGTTACTGCTATATCTATTTTCAATTTACAGTTGTCTTGTACATATATATATATACAACTCATGTCTATTCTTGACCTTTGATATATTAAAATAAATGATAATGAAGCGTAATGATGTATGTTGATTAACAATGTTGCCTTCTTAATCATTGACGTATGTAGAAATAATTTGTAACTGCATTATGCACACTTATTCAATTATTTTATGTCTTTAATGTTTTCAAGTCGATGTAACGTAATACATTAAATACCATTTCATGTGAATTTGTATAAATATAATTACATATATTTTGTTACAGTTGTACATGTATATTCTTTTACAACTATAAAAAGTGTTTTGTTAATGTATATTTTATTCTTATATGCTATAATTATGCCCTTGAATCTAAAGCAAGTACTATAAAATTCAACACGTATTTTATCCAAAAATAAATGAGTGCTTTACAAATGTAAGAAGTAACAATTTTATTATTTCCAGGTTTATAGACTATGTAATCAATATTCGTTAAAATTAAATACATGTTTCAACAAAAATTGTTTCTTTTATTTCAGAAAGGCAATAAGCGGTCGTGTAGTTATTTAAAGAAACAAGACGTTTGATGAATTGCTCTTAGTCAGGTGTACGGTAATCTGTACTCAAAATGCCTGCCAGCGAGTTGAATCTGAAGGTGAACTTGACCTACGGGGATGACTATATACAGGGCCAAGATACGAGGTCACGTCAGATTATGTTTATATTCTGGGGAATTATTATTCCTATCATCAGTGTGATCGGATTCTTCGGAAATATGCTCACCATTATTGTTCTCTTCCGGCGAGAGATGAAGTCCACCACTGTGTACTTCTTACGAACGCTAGTAGTAACTGACACGGGTATAATAGTGGTGGGTGGCATAATAGGACTGTCCGTGATTTCCATTACACAACTAAATCCAAAAATGTGGCTATTTACTGATGTAATATATCCACATATATATACACCCACAAACTATATAGTTATGACACTACAAATGCTAAACGTATGGACGACAGTGGCGGTGTCGGTAGAACGATATATAGCTATATGTCATCCGTTCAAATCAGTTAGAATTTGCAACAAGAAGAACGCGTTTTTAATGATTGGAATAATAACTGTAATTTCTATTCTGTACAATATTCCGAGATGTTTTGCGACATGGTTTACTCGGTGTGGTGAAACAGATGGCCATGCTTGTTATACAGTTATAACAACGAAGTTTGGACAAAGTTTCTTTTATTCAGAGATATATACACTTTGGCTATATATGACACTGATTTATATCATACCGCTTGCATTGCTTGGTGTATTGAACACGTTACTCATATTAGAACTAATGCGCATGCGCAGAAGAAGAAGTGTACCAAATATTCAAGAAAACAGCGAGGCTAACATGAGTATAGTACTAATTCTTATAGTAATTGTTTTTATATGTTGCCAAACACCAGGACTAGTGGCACAATTCCAGTTTTTACACCCGCATGTATTATTACAATGGACTTGTGTGAGTAATACTTTATTTGTGCTTAACTCTTCTGTGAATTTCTTAATTTACACTGCAGTCGGTAGAAAATTCAGAAAAATTCTACTTAAAACATTTCAAGTTTTCATAAAGCGCCCGGTGAATCAATTAAAAACATCATACTCACAAGGAGCACCATATTCACAGAATGGAGGCACGGAACTTACTAAACTGACGCAAAAACCTATTGCGTATGATTCCGAGGAAATGTCAGACGAAACATGTAATCTCAAAGGTTGTGGCCGATAAAAAAAACCCAGTTAATTTACTCGTGGAGTTAAGGTTTTACAGTTTACTGCTTACGGTGAAATAATTACGAAAGACAACTGTATATGGTAAATGGTCAACCTAGTGTGTTGATTTAATAGTTGGTTACTGCCCTTCTTTGCGTAATGAAAAGTAGAATAAAAGTCTAAGCTAGCATACGATTATTGATAACTTGCATGATTTGAATTATAAAATGATCGTACATGCTAATATTGTTAGTGCTTGAAGAAATAAAAGGGTAAAATATAAGAGAAAAAAATGATAGAAACATGTGCAAATACTTTGACGATTGCGCGTAGAAGAATTTGTGACTTAATGCAAAGAAAAGGAAGCTATTTTATTGAATCAAAGCATTTGTCGTCAGGCGGAATCGATGACGACATAGACAGATTAGAGACCGAAGAAATCGCGCGGGGAAAGACGTGTCAATGACGTCATTTGTTATTTGGATATTGATAGACAAAATTGTGTCAATATTTAGTAAATTATTTAACTGTATGTGATACATATGATTGTGTTTTTTTTACTTTGAAGAACATCTAAAATGACTTTGATAATGCAGCTATGCAAAGTATTATTTTATTCTGTTGCTCCTTTCTATAGGAAAACGTTACGGAATGAGAACGCAAAAATGTATACAATAATATGCCTTGAATTACGACCATTGCTTTTGTCTTAAAAATTGTAGAGATGTATGACTTTCTTTAATTGTTTTAATCTGCTTTAGATATAACCTTGATCAATAAATAACGGACCAATATATGTACATATATTTAGTTGATATTTGTATATTTATTAGATAATACAATAGTGCAATTTTTCATCAAATATAAAACAACATGGTATATTATAGCCTAAAGCGCAAAGTTTAATCATTTGTATTGTAATCCTTAAAAGTTAAATACTTCCAGATGAACTAATAAATGTTCAAGCATCATGCAGCACTTTGCACGTGTAATGTTATTTACTATTTTGTTAGTATAGTTCTGTTCATTTATAACGGAGGTCACACTAATTTTGTATATTTGTCGCGTTATAAGTTTTTTTTCTGGACACTAACTATAGTCTAAATATATATACTTAAACCAATGTTTGTAACTATACAATGCGTGTACTTCTATTAAGAGCATCTTTTAAATTTTCATAAAAAATAACATTAATCTATTAATCTTGAAGCGTGTCACTTTAATTTAAAAATTGACTACACATACGAACAATGCAGATAAAGATCAGTCGGCACATCTGTGTTCTGATCATGATCTGCACTGTTACTGTCTACAAAAAAATATTTCCGAAGATTGCCTCATTTTTCCTACATAGAGAAACATTCCAAAAATAATTTGATATTAAAGTATCCTGTGTTCAACTATATCTTTTCGTTTTTAAGCTGAAATCGGTATTTAATGTTGGCTCTGTAAACATTTTTGTTATATTCTAAAAAGAACATACTTGTAAATACGCAACATATAATTTCATACACGATTGTAAATAAAAGTTCATCGTTCAAATGTTTACATCGTAAGAAATGTTTATAGTTGTATATTTCTCACAATCATCTTCATTTATTGTTAGGCATGATTGTTCATCTAATATATGTATCTGGTCTTATGTCGCAATCAGCTAAACAAATCTTTCTCTCAAATACTTTGCATAATTTAACGTGTACAGCATATTTATATAGTATGTTTATTGAAATGCTTTCATATAGTTAAATTCATCATATCTTCATTAAGCTAAACGTTTCTATGTGACTGTTCTGTCTACAATTATCTACATTAAACTGATCTTTTAAATTATTTTCATTCGAATACATATTATATTCAAAGTATTAAAATGTGAAAGTGGATTTTAGGCTAGAATCAAGAACATACATATTCAAATGTGTCATTTCTTCTAGAAAATAACTAATATGTAGGACTAAAATGTTTATGTGGTTAAACGCATTAAACGAGTAATTATTTTCAGATTAAAACATCACATGCTAAAGTTTCAATCCTGCAGCAGAATTTTATCAATATGACGAACTTAAGAGTTGAAATTATTTAATTGTTTTATTATTTTTAAAGATAGCTTTGGTAATTCTTATTAGTTTTTTTTTAAAGATCAAGCTTACAAACATGACAAAAAATCAACTTAATTTTTATATATAATCATAAATCATATAATAAACATTTTTGAGGATGTTTCTCCTTTTCTATTTCTTAATCAGTTGTGTTAAATGAATTACCTGAAAATCATTTCGTTTTATGATATACTGTTTTTTTTTTTATCTCAATCATGTACATATGTTATTATTGTTAAATTGTGTATTTTTCTAGATTACACAACTGTCAACCATAACCAAGATGCATTATTTCATTTTAATGTTAGCTTAATATTATAACGTAATAGTTTGAAATTGTTATATTGTCTTAGTGCTATTTGAGAGCGTGTTTACATTTGAGCGGCGCCATGACAAAACCAACATAGTGTGTTTGCGACCATCATTGATCCAGACCAGCCTGCGCATCCGCGCAGCCTGATCAGGATCCATGCCGTTCGCTATCTGTTTCTCTCTACTTGTAATAGGGTTGGTAAGCGAACAACATGGATCCTGATCAGACTGCGCGGATGCGCAGGCTGGTATGGATCCATGCTGGTCGCAAACGCACTACGTTGATTTTGTCATGGCGCGGCTCAGTTATATAGATGCTTCTGGGCTTCTAGCTGCAGACCGTAGCAACTTGTTTTATAGCAACACTAACTGCTTTATGTATGCCGCCGACTGATGACATCTGCCTATATGTTGTTATATGTTTAAAGACATCAAAGAAATTGTCATAAATATAAAAAGAAAAATAATATTTTGTATTATAGGCACGGTTTTATTATGTATCAATTTATATAGTTTTATGATTTTATAAATCAATATATTCTGCTATAAAATCGGACAGACGTTAGTCAGTCTTACAGGCATTACATAAGTTATACTGGTTATCATCAACACTTGAAACATAACTTTTTGTGGTAAATAAACAAAGAAGACAAATTTTACAGTGCTATATGAATGTTTCCTAAGTAATCTAAATATGGTCACTTGAATGAAATGAAAATATTTAGAACATAATTCTTCAAAAGCATTGACCATCGGCGTTTAAATATTCGGACGTTGTTCATGAGTGAATATGTTGTATGATTATCAAATCTTTGGAACGTAACGTAGAAAAGTGTAACGTAATTTATCTGACGTAATGTGTAATGCTCATTTGACGATCATAGGACAGACTGATGTTAGTTCATGAATAAATGAAAATGTGTTTATATTTTACAGTAACTGTTACAAAATAATATTTTTTTCCGCTAGTCCGCTAGTCGTTTTCATTTTCGAGTAATTTCTTTTGTAACATCCTAAAAAAAATATTTATCCTATATATGCTAAACATATTGCGATTTAAATTCATTGTAAAATAAATATTTCCTTATTATTTTTATCAAATTATTATGAAACTCACTGTCAAATGCGATACAATTTTGAATTTTGAAGAAATAGTGAACTCTATCTTCTGAGAACGACATATTTCCTGACTTCAAACTGGACTATGGGAAATGAATTATTTTTTATGATTCTGATTTCATACTTTTATTGTTATTTAACGTTGTCGTTTATTCTCTTATTATTCTATGCCAAAATTCCTGTGATTTTTCTGTCTTGCATATATGTTTGCGTGCAGGCGACGTTATTTAAATAAAATGTGTCATAAACTAGTATTTTGTTTCTCTTTGGTATTTACTGGAATTGACATTATATTCATCCTATTCTTGCATATCAGGGCGCTAGAAAAACCTATGTTAGTAGTCACGTGATTCCCGCATGCCCTTAGAATGATGTCATTTTGCCTTTATGAATGACGTTTTTAAAACTCATATGCTACTTCAAGACATAAAAGCGCTAAATGAAAATATTGACTTCTTATCTTTTCCGAATTATGATTTTTAAGTAATATGCGAGGAAAGGAAGAAAAAAAGTCATAGACGGGAATATCTACCTTCCGGGTAAGTGATTAATAGAAAGTCGCAAAGTCTCGTTACCACCGAAAACAGTTACCCTCGAGCTAGATATTCCCGTCAGCCGTAAGATTCTTACAGTCTAAATGGAACGGGCACAAAAAAAGTCAAAATATTTTTCCATTTTGCATTTCGTTTTTCAATTTTATAACCTCCGTCACTTAAATAAAGAATAACTAACGTGCCCACGGCAATTTACATAAATGTCCATCAGAATACATTCAATTGATAAAAAGAATGGAATAGTGTCTTTACATCTTAGGATACGTGGTAATTTGTAAGCATTAAATTTTGTAATTTTCAATTATTGATCAGTTACCATTATAATAGTATGAAATAAATTGCATCTATCGTATAGGCTTATTTTGACGATGCCAATATAATCAAAATGCCACTTAAGTACTAAACGTCATTCACTATTGTCCTACTGATTCGAATAATGTAGGTCAATTTGCATGGTGATCAGTATTCAGGTGAAGACTTATTTACAAGTACAAGTCATCATATACCCAACTAATTTCAAGTTATATCATTGCTTTATTGAATATCACTGTAGTTTTTGCCATTATTTTTTTTTTTGTTTTTTTTTTAAAGAAAGAAATAAATCAAAATTGTAATAAGCGACGTGTCTTAGAAAAGAAATGAAATTCATTGTACCAGCACTCTTTCAATACGATCGTGATCAAAATGATGAATTTTTTGTTCAAAATTTTACAAGTGTGACATCAAACATAGATAAATATTTAAAACAATCAGTTATTTATATGCAATGAAATACATAGAAACAACGCGAAGTTCAGTACGTTAAAATAAAATGATATAGTCATCGGTCTAGCAATCAAGTGGTATCTAGAAACAGATACTGAAAACGAGTATGATAACAATATTGACACAACAATACAGAGTGTGCGTCATGACAACTTGTTTCATATATCAAATAAACGAGCATTGCTAATTAATTAATTCATGCTACATCAAACTGCCCACGTTCATATATTTGATGAAAGATAATTCAAAGAAAAGCAAATAATAACACCTGATTTTATTGCGCTTGATCATAACAGATAACGAACATACACTACTTGCATGCAAATAGAATTCCCACAGGAGCTGTCATCGTGTGCACCCGGTGACATTTTCACATAATTGAGAACATTATAGAAAATGACAAATGACTTAAACAATATCATCAAATATTTATAATATATCAGTTTCACATTAGTAAGTAGCTTGTGTCGTCCTGTTACAGCCGGAAACATTATTCACTATTACTCTGCTTAATTACTTTGTTTTGCTATACACAATACACGTAAAACAATGAAGACATAATAAATTTATGCCTGTATCAGTCATATTGCAGAGTAATTGTGCTTTTAAAAAATGAATAGTCGCCAGAATACAAAATGTTTCTTATACATACGTTCGAGTAATATTTCTGAATATGTCCACACCCAATGTTTGTTAAATATCTTCACAGTCAATGTATACAAAACATGTCCTACAGTCAATATTATATAGTTAATGTATTTCAGTCTATATACTTTGAATATTATATTTACAAAATCGGTGCTGAATATGTCTTTGAACAGTCTATAGATATTATGTTTGTTCAAAGTTATGTATCCTAAGTAATGTCCTCAGTAAATGTTCATTAAATAAGTTCACAGTTAACACGGGGAGGAAATGTTACACGAGGGATGGAGTTCTTTTCAGGAGTTCTTGTGATAACTGTCACGGAGTTCGTCGGAAAACTTTAGTATAACCTTTTAAGGTGCTTTATTAAACTTTAATGATTATTCTTGCATAGCAGACTGCCGTTTCCGTGTGTTTTACCCATGCCGGAAATTTCATCTGGCATGGGGGGTGCCAGATGAGTCGCGTGCTGTACAATGGCACGCTTAGGATGACGTCATTTTACCGTTATGAATGAAGTTGCAATTTCATACGCTGTTGTAAGGAAATAGTTACGTCTGTAATGATATACATTTCCGTTGAAAATAAAGATGAAGAATTTAAAATATAATGGAATATAATTGTAGAATATGCAAGAAAAAATATCTGACATATGTTTTGCGGTTCGGATCGGAATATCCGTCCCTCGGTAACCCGCCCATGGGCGGTAACTCGGCAAGCCTCGTTACCGCCCAATGGGCGGGTCACCTCGGGACGGATATTCCGGTCCGAACCACAACATATGACAGATATTATTAAGCTTGCCTAACATTTTGTATTACATGTCAAATACTAATTTATAGGCCATTTCACATCGCCTCTTTTTTAAAATCTTATAGTTTTGAGTAAAATTTCTAAATTATTTGCTTATTCGCACATACTGACCTGTTCATTTCTGATCTTTTTTCTTGCCATACATAATTACCTAATTATAATGCAAAGTGGCGAACATAAAGCCCCGGCTATCAAATTAATGCCCGATTTTTCAAGTGTCCTGGAGTTCTTGTGATAAATCTGAAGATGTCCTAGAGTTCTTGTGTTAACTTTTGTTACTGCCATTGTGCTTCTTCCGCTACAACACGGCACGTTTTAGCGTTTTTTTTATTATCAATAAGGTTTTAAGTCATTAGGAAACGCAGTAAGTTCTTCCTTTGCACAAAAATAAGGATATATAATGTTGTTATATATAAGAATCCGGATGAATAGCAGTAACTATTCTTCTTTTCAATTAATTTAATTACATGTAAATGAGGCCACGTATAAGAAGACGAATGCTATTATCAAGTTGGTAATGAAAACTCGCACTGAGCATTCCTCTGAATAATTCTAAGTCAGTTGTTTTATTGTTAGATATTGACTACGAGAGTTAACAGTGCTACAAAAATGAAAATAATGATAAACAATGTTAAGGTTTTATATTTGAAAAATGTAAACTATTTTTCAGTCATGTTGTTCACAAGGCCCAATAATTCATAGGAGACCGACTATATTGTTATTACAAAGCATTGTTTAACGAAAAACCACATTTCCTTAGAAAACATACTTTTTATACGATTAAATTGAAATTATTTTATCTTGCTTATATGAAAAAAGGAGATTCATTCAATTTGTTAGACATAAATATTGTTACGAAATCATTTCACTTTTGTGAAAAGCTTTGTTTATTCACTTTTTTCGCTTAAAAGTAAACCATTTCTCTATGCTGGTAAAATGAACAAGTCAAGTCCAAGTGAAAGCAGGATTATATTTATTGCAGTAAATCAAAATAATGCATCATTTTATTCTCTATCAACAGTCAAAACCAAAGTAAAATCCTTAACAACTTCAACGAATACATTTCTGCAATTACTAACTAACTCAACTCAACCAACTCCAACTCACTCCAAAGCTCCTCAAAAACTCCAAAACTAACCCAGCTAGAAAAGTTGCCAGCTTATATACCCTTCTGTTTGCGCAGCTAGGGTGGTGTGCAAAAGTAGACTGTTGCGCGACCTCTTATTGCGCGACCTCTCCAGTTTTGCACACAACTCATTGCGCGACCTGAATGTTGCGCGACCTTTTAAAATGCTGACAATGCCTTCAATGTTCAAAATGGCCTGCAACTGGTTCAGGTATACAGACTGTTGTACAATACAAACATTAGTACAAAAATACATAATAGTTATATAAATTTACATGTTTGAACACTCAATAGGATAATAATTATCTGTCCAATAATGCATCTTAATAGTGCAAAATATACTTGCAGTAATAAAGATATATGTACTATATATGGCTTATAAGACCAATACATTTACTACTGATTGACATTTCTATAAACTTATAATACTGACTGATAATTCATTAAACAACAGAAATA